GAGCCGGAGGCTGTGCCCGCCACGCCAGGGATGCACATACAGCATCTCCCCCCCCAACCCCGCTCCCCCCAACCCAAGCTGTACCCTGCAGCCCCCCCCTCACCTGGCTCGGGTGCCCCCTGCGAGCTGCGGATGGTGGAGACGCAGCAGAGGGATGGCCGGCCCTGCTGCATCTCGGCGGGAGGAGGGATGCGTGCGAGCGCTCGGCTGTCACGAGTGCAGCTCCATCCCTGCCTCCCCTCATACCTCGTCCACACCTGACTGATTCCTCCCCGAATCGCCTCCCTCCCGCTGCCAATAAACGGTGGCCGCACGCTCTCTGGGGCTCCGGTGCCGGGGCAGCCCCCAGCTGGCCTCGCACGGTGATGGGGGGGGATGAATTACACCCCCTCCCCGCTGCCCTGTGGGCGTTTGATCTGGAGAGATGCTTGGTGCTTTCCCTGCTTGCTCCCGCCTAATCCCACAGCAGGGCCAGCTGGCACCAGGATGGACGGGAAGCCCGGGGGGCTGCCGCAGGGGACACCGGACCCGCTGGGCATCAAAGCCCCCGGCAGAGCTCCTGTGTGGCAGCACTGGGGTCACCGGGGGCTTGGGGGGTTCGGGATGCAGGAGGAAAAGAAAAGAGGGAGCGTGGTGATGAGCATCCTTCCTGGGGATGCAGGGCTCAGCCTGGTCTGCTCCCACCCCCAGGCAAAGTCGTCATGGTTATGGCCATCTTTGGGGTCTGGGCAGAAGGGGGGGCCCACAGTGTGGGTTGATGAGCAAACGCTGTGCTGAGCCTTGAAACGGGGCTGCAGGAGCCTTTGGGCTGGCTGAGCCTGAGCTGGAGCAGAGAGGGGAGAGCTCGGCTCTGATCCCCCCACGGCTGCTGTGCCCCCACCCTTCTGGGTCCCCACAAAACGCTCCGTGGTCCCTGTGGCTTGTCTTCAGCCCTGTGGGATGGACACCCCACCTCCTGCTCACGGGCTGGGGAATTGCTGCCAGCTCGCTTTCCCTCGGTGGCTCTTTGATCCATTTTGGGCACCTCTCCAGCCACGCAGGGCAGGATGAGGGGGAGGCAGGGGCTGGGCCACCACAGGGGGACCAGCAGCCGCCTGCCCAGGGTGGTGGGACAAGGTCTGGGGTGGCAGCAGGGACAGACAGCGCTCCCTCCCCTGCCCCGACACGCCGCCACTCCCTTTCCTCCTCCAGACACTTTTATGGCTGGTGAAACGTGAGCGCTGGAGAGGCTCAGAGCAGCAGCAGGCACTGCTGGGGAGGGGGACGGGGAACCTCCTGGGGATGGAG